TTTCCTGCCTTGAGAAAATTTTCACTATAAAGGAGGTAATAGTAGGCCATTTAGAAATATATAATAAAAGCAAGTAGAGTCAGCATGGCTTCATGAATGGAAATCATTCCTGCTAAATTTATTACAATTCTTTGAGGAGGTAAAGGCAGAATAGATAAAGGGAAAATAATAGCTGTCATATATTTGGATTTCCAAAAGGCATTTGATATGGTGCCACACATAAGGTTACTTAATAAAACAAGAGCCCATGGCGCTGGAATATAGAATGGGTTGCGGTTTAGCTATCTAACAGAAGACAGAAACTTGGGAAAAGGGGTCATTTCAGGATGGCAATCTATAACGAGGAATGTGTCAGAGGGATCAATGGTGAAGCCACAATTATTTAGAATATGTATTCATGACTTAGTTGTGGGAAGTGACTCTCATATTGGTAAATTTATAACATGCAGAAAAAAACAACTGATGAGAATGACACAAAGAGTCTGCAAATTGATAGTTTTAATCTCATTATTACACATCTCTGGGAAAGATGGGATGTGAACTGGGATCTCCTAGCTCAGAGATATGGACATTACCAATGCACTACAAGAGTCCCTCTGCTGAAGGATTTAGACACGTTGAATAAATGAGCAAAATCTTGGCATATGGAATTTAATTTTGGAAAATGTGAGGTTATGCACTTTGGCAGGAAGCACAGGGAATATGAATATTATTCAAATGGAAAAAGACGACAGAATGCTACAGCACAGGACTCCTCATGCATACATCATTAAAAGCTAGCATCGAAGTTCAGCAGGTAATAAGAAAGGAAAATTGAATGTCAGTCTTTATTTCAAAGGGAATTGAGCATAAAAATAGGGAGGTTTTGCTAAAAATATACAAGGCACTATTTAGACCTCAAGTAGAGTACTGCGAACAATTTTGATCTCCTGAAAATAGCAAAGACACACTGATTTTGGATGTAGCCTGGAGAAGATTCAATAAGTTGATCCTTGGCAAGGAGGGATTTTCTTATGAGGAGAGGTTGAATAGTCTGGATTTTTACTCTTTGGAGTTTTGAAGAGTGGCCTTTATGAAATATGCAAGATTCGTAGGAGCTTAGCAAGGATAGATGCTGACGGGTTGTTTCCCCATGTGGGACAATCTAGGACCAGAGGCCATAATCTCAGAGTAAGAGGTCACCATTTAAGACAAAGATGAAGAGGAATTTCTTTCTTTGGAGAGTTAGAATCCATTTATCACAGACGGCTATACAGGCTATGCCATGAAGTATATTCAAAAGTGAGGTAGACACATTTAATACTTTAATGAGTAGAGGATTCGTTAACAAGTGGGAAAAAAATAAGAACGAATCGGACATTTTCAAGTCAGCAACTGTGACCAGTGGAATACGAGGTGGAACCTCAGATATTTACCATCTGTATTTATGACTTACAAAAAGAGATAGTGATTCATGCATCTAAGTTTGCTGATGAAATAAAACTCAGTGGGAATGTAAGGCATGAGGACAGAAAGAGGCCACAAACCAATACACATTAGCCATGATGTGGAGGTGCCGGTGTTACACTGGGTTGGACAAAGTCAGAAGTCACACGACACCAAGTATTTGAAATCACAAGCTTTTAGAGCACAGCCCCTTTGTCAGGTGAAGTGACTGGTTAAGTGACTGGACAACAAGGTGGAAGATGGTGTCTGATTTGAGCAAAAGTGAGGTTATTCACTTCAGTTGTAAGAATGGAAAAACTAAATATTTTTTAAAAAGACATAAACATATCAAATTTGATGTTTAGAGGGACTTGAGTGCAAAGAACAAAGTTAGCATATAAATACAGAAGAGTAGAAGAATAAGTAAAGCTTCCTGTAACCGTACATCCAAATACTTTCTCAGTATTTAAGAGATCTCCTTTGCAAGCAGTACAGCAAAGGTTCATGACATTGGATCTTGGAACGAATGGGTTGTCTTACAATGAGAAGCTGAGTAAATTGGGTTTATATTCTCTGGATTTTAGAATAATGAAAGGTGATTTCATTGAAACATAGAAACCTCTGAAGGGCTTGACAGGCTACATACTGAGAGATTATTTCCTCTGGCTGGAGAGTCTGAAACATGAGGGCAGAGTCTCAGGATGGCTAGATAATCATTTACAATTGAGATGTGGAGAAACGTCTCTCTTTAAAGCATTATCAATCTTTGGAACTGTCTATTCCTGTGGATACTCCTTTAGTATAGACTGGAAAGTAAATGGCTTTTAATCTCTGAATGAGACAATGAGACGTACTCTTCTAAAAGTAAGTAATAGCACATAGGAACGTTGGCTCAGGAAATTTACATTAATTTGTGACAAGAGACACAGACTCAAAATAACAGAAGGCAAATATATTATCATTTTTAATTGCTTTGTAGTACAGAATTTAAATATTGCTAACAAAAGACATATTGTCAAAACCTTTCATCTGCACCAACAGGATTGGGACACAAGAAACCAAATTTAAAAAAGGAACAACAATTTGTATAGCATGAGCAGAGGGTACTGACGCATGGAGATGCAGCAGGAACTGTTAACTGTCAAGTTTAGTTAGCTAAGTTAGCAGACCAGATAGGTTGACTCTGATTAGTCAGGATGTTTCCACAGGGAATGCAGCAAAGACTGGCAGTCTCTAAAGCCCTATTCTCAATGAAAATAGTGCAATGTATGGACAGAGATAGTAGGAACTGCAGATGATGGAGAATCTGAGA